TGAAAGAATATGAACAAGACTCAAAAATCTACTCGAAAATATAATTTATTCCACAGAAAGCTATATTATCAAGATTGTTTGTTATTCTCTATATAATTCAGCAGTATAATAGTCAATAGATTGTTTTTTCATATGAACTGTTCGAAGACGTATACGAAACAATGATTATGAGTTTAATCATTGATTGCATGGCTTAACCATATTGATAATATCTTATGTATATGTTATGTGAGTCTGGTATGTAATATTTGAAAATAAGACACAAACTTCAGCGACGAATTCGTCGTTGCCAAGTTCTCAATGATTCTTTTAGTGTTTTTCTGTACAATTCCGATGGAACGACAAATACAATGAAGACAAGTATTGATGGAGTAAATGAAATGAAATAAGCACAAAGATATAGCCAAGGATTATTATGTACCTTCACACATCCAGATAATAATGAAATGATTAAACGTGGCATTGATAAAATAAGTAGAATTGCTGGACTAATTACTAATTGTTTATGTTCACGTAATTGTACACGAATATGTGCAATGTAGTTTTGACTCGTCTGAGCTAATGATCGTTGTCGAGCAGTTCCAAAAATAATGAATAAAGCAGAAAAAAGATTAGCAATAAATGGGCCAATGAGGTGAACGAAAAGAATAGCTATATTGTAATCTTGAACGGCATGAGAATAATTAATTACACACCAAATATTTCTTTCTATTATTTTTGTTTTATCCATATCGTCTTTTACTCGATGTTCGAAAATATTTCGATGTAAGGGTTCATGAATGATTGTAGCTGTGATACAAAGTGGTAAGATGAATATAATCCATCGAGCAAGACGTTTACTCTTTTCTTTGTTAAAATGAACACCTTGATAAACATGAATTGCTCGTTCAATAGCAACACAAGCATTAAGCCATGTATCAAAATAAAGAAAAAGTTTTAGAAGAGGTTCAATAGAAATACATCCAACTCGATGAATAGATAAATTAATTGATGAATTCATTTGACTGAGAAGAACAAACCAAAAATTGATTGTAACCATAGAAATTGTTAGAAGAGAAGTAATTGAAGAAGCTAAAAGATATATTCCACATCCGACTTTTCGTAAATTTGCATTTTGAAATGTTAGAAGTGAGAAAATACTATTGATTAAACCCAAAAGAAACATAATTATTGTTAAACCAACACTCATTTTCACTAATAATGGTTGATTCTTCAATGTCTCATTTCGTTGAATTTCGTAACGTAAAATATCATCAAGAGTTATACCAATACCTTTTGTTTGAACATTACATGAACCACCAATAACACATTTATCAGGATTTACTAAAGCAACAAAACAGAGATTTGAACTTTTATTGACTAAAATAAAATAAATATTTTCTCTTGGAATATTTTCAAAATATTATTTTAGTCGAGACATAGAAAGAAGTTTGATAGAGATATTTAGACCATTTATGATAAGAAATTCGTCAATGAAGATCTTTGATTAGTTAAAATAAAATATATGAAATATCGAGTAGAACTTTATTAGAACAAGTGACGTTTCATAATTAATGTGCTTTTTGTGTATCAAAGATCACTAAGAAATCATTCATTCTTGAGGGTGTGGGTGGGTGTGAGTGTAGGTGTTATTTTTACCTCATACCCACCCGCTTTGTCGTCCAAACCTTATAGCAAGTACATAGTCTAAGTGTTTTTTGTTTGGCACTTACCAGAACCTTATACAAAGACACTTTATAGCAAAACTTTGGATTTTTTGTCAATTTCAGTCCCCTTTTTGTCTTAAAAAACAATGGGGAAACATGACGCTAACTATAAGGAAAAAGTATAAATACTCACTAATATGTGTGGTATTGACGTTCGTTTGCCCAAATACAATGATTGAAAATGATCCTATAGCATCTGGAAGCCTTGTTGATATAACCAATATATATTTAACATGGGCGAGAAGATTGAGTGTGAATCGAAGATGTTTAGGTGAGCATATTAACGAACCATGTGTGATTAAATTTTCAAATGGATTAAATGGATCAAAACTGTTCTTGTAGATAGATTTGTATATACTGGCATTACTATTAATTGTAAACTGATAGAATTCATTGGTGACTACGTCGATTTGTATAGTTTCATAGTAATAGTTATATTTGTCACAATTAGGAGAATACTTTTGATTATTTGCTGTTAATTCTGATGAATACATAGACTGGACAACTGATGAAGTATCTAGTCAACAAAAAACAGATCTATTAGTATTCTATTCGTAATAGATGTAGATGAATTTAAAAACTTTTCCAAAGTCGTGTGTCTTCCGAATACATATCTACAGGATAAAGATTTTATGACAAAAATCTATATAATACGTTCAACGAGAAAAAAGAGGGAAACCATAATAATTATTTCATAATCATTCCGACAGAGAAAGTTGGTTGTATTGTTTATTTTAAGATACTATATGGATATTGTAGTATTAACATTTCTGACAGAACAGATGAAGAAAATGTTAATATTACAATTTCATATCGAAGTTTAATATAAAACTTTAATAAAAGATATTAGTTCATCGATGGTTATATTATCAAAATTCCATTTCTTGAGAGAATCTGTGTAGCTTAATCGAATTTTAATGAAAAAATATTTCATTTTAAAATCATGTATTACATTGCATCAATTGATCATTTCATTTTAAAAGAAGTCTCTATTAATCACACTGACAACCTGTCTCTGTCGGGTATAATCAATGTTGGAATTGAGAACTATATAGTTTTGAGTAATCTCGAAACATCAGTGTAGTACGGAAACTGAAAAAACCGTTTAGAAACTTCTAATGAAATCGAAAGCTGTTTTAGATATTTTGGGATTTAATAAAAACTCGAGATTTTCCAATTTGTTTGAACTTTATGAAAATTTCTAAACTTCTCTAAGTATCATATATCTTTAATGCATTAACACCAAATTGTGAACAATGGTTCTTATAAATATTAATCTATGATTGTATTGCTAATGAACTTTCGAAGATTTTTAATAGATTCAGAAATCAGATTAAGTTTTACATACATCTTCTAAAATATCCCTTTTTGAAACTGATTTTTACAAATAGTATAGATACTTACTTAGACGTTCGAAAGTGATGTTGCTGAAACCAAACACAATGACTGAGAATAGTCCTGTCATACTTGGATGATACGTCGTCACGACCAATATGTATTTAGTTTTGATCTTGAGGTGAACTGTCAATCTAAATTGATAGTTATCGCAGCTATTATCATCCTTTAACATTAAATCTTCAGATGTGTCCAATGGATTGAAATAATCTTCGTACATATAGCCAGTTAAATCATTACTGCTATTGCTAATAAAAGTATAATAGCCATTCTCATTTACAGTCACTTGTATCGCTTCGTAGTAGGTTAAGAGCGCACAGTTATCTTGTAAATACATTGGATGATTTTCTGTTAATGCTGATGAATAAATCGATTGAACGACTGATGAAATATCTATTCAACAAAAAACAATTCAATGAAAATTCGTAGCATTTTAGTAAATTCAAATAGGTTTTCGTGCTTCTGATTTTTTCGAATATATGTGCTCACAGTGAGTATTTCATAGCCGAACTGTAATGACGATCTTGAATGACTTTTATGAATGAAAGAAATCGTGTTTATCTCGTGTCAGCTATGATCGAAAAACTTCTAATAAATATCTTAGGTCTTTTGTGTGTTGAATTGCGCTAAAACTGTTTGAATGTCATAAAATCTGACAAAACAGATGAAAACTATGTTATAATCGTGATTTAGCATCAAAGTTTAATGAAAAGTGTTGATCGTTGAACAGATTATGATAATTTCTTGAGTGTGTGGATGTGCATCCGAGAAGAGTATACAACACTCACACCCTCAAGATTTGATCTTGTTTTCATGTATCACTTTTGAAAAAATAATCAAAACCGAATTCTGTTTATAACCTCTTGATTATTTTCATACAAGCCACTTGGATTCTCATTTTGTTTTTTGAAGAGGTTTGTCTTGTCAAATGTGAAATATTTCATAATAACAAGATCATGAGAAAAATACTTTTTTCGATTCTGGTTCATCTGTTTTCGTTCATATCAACATCAAAGATAGAATCTGACACTACAAAGAGATGGATGTGTAGGTCTTTGTTTATTGAGACCCACCTCATCTCAATACTTTAAAAGTTTTCGACAAAGAACAAAATGTCGAGAAGCTACTGTTCACAAGTTTTTATAAGTACATTTTTGCATTCATTTCGTCGTTTGTGTTCGAGTATTTCTGTGAAAAAGGATGTTTACCATATGAGAATTCTATTTTGAAACAGCGATCTTTGCAAATATTCTTTTCTATGTAATAGGAAACTTTACAAGATTTGTGATGAATACAGAATGGAAATTGAGAATACGTAGATTTTCTATACTTTGCACTTCTGCGCTGATATTTATAAATACTATAGACACTCACTTAGACGTTCTAAAGTGACATTATTGAAACCAGACATAATAATAGAGAATATTCCTGTCGCATTTGGACTATACGTTGTTACAACCAGTATATTTGCAGTGGTAGACTGAAGAAGAGTTTTGATCTCAAACTGATGTTTACCGAAACTGTTATCATTCTCTAGAATTAAATTTATAGATGGATCGAATGGATAGAAGTTTTTTGTGTAGATGTAACCATATGTATCGATACTGCTGCTGCTACTAAGACTATAATAGCGACTTTCATTGACATTCACTTGTATAGCTTCATAGTAGTAGTTTGGAAGATTACAACCAATACGGGAATATGTTGGATGATTTCGTGTTAACATTGATGAATACACTAATTGACCATTCGATGAATTGTCTATTCAACAAAAATAGATTAATCAAAATTTATAAAATAAATTTCAATGCTTTTCAATATATACTCCCGTGCGCGACTCGTTCATATAAAAATAATCGTTATTATTTGCATACTACTTTTACTAATAAAACAAAATAGAACTATAAATGTCTAAGTAGTACAGAATCTAATAAAATCAAGAAAAAATACGTTTGAATGATAATATAATATTGAAATTGAATAAATAACTTCGATCGGCTTTATCATCACAGAATGCATTACAGAAAGTTCAGATCTCAAGAATATATTTCCGAGTCAGCTGAAGCTTCAGCTTACACTCCCCTCAATCAACAGAATATTTATTTTCCTTTCAAATTGAACAATAAAACTCGCAATTATTTCTTATTCAGTCATAGATTATCTTCTAATCAACAAATACTCTTTAACCATCGGATAACTGGAAATTTGAATCAATTAATAGAATTTCTATAGAGAAAATTGTCTTTCTCTTTGTAACTTTGCAAAATTCAAACGTATGGATCTCGACAGAATCATCCTTTCTTCAATGGAATTCATGAAAGAATTGTCAAGTATTCTAAATACGCGACAAAAATCACATTTAGAGACTATTATTCGGGGAAAATATAAGTAAAAGAACTCTCATCAATGATAAAATGCAAGAAAAGTACATCGATTTTCAATTTGAAAGGTATTTTGCAAAGTTTTACGGATCACATCGACAGTTGTTTCAAAAGAATAAGTCGAACTACTTTTCGTTAATGATACGACAAATATAAATACATAAAAAAAAGAAGATCTAATTAGATTCAAAGAATACAAGTCGTAGTCGACTATCACACAGAAATGATCTTTACTCACTTAGTTTCGAAGATAAAACCTGTTTTTTTCAGTTGATTTCTTTCATAAATGTTGTTGATGTTTTCTAAAGTCTTTAGATTTGTTTTTTTGATATAAATGTAGAGATATTTGTTAATTACATTTCTTCTTAGAAATCATTTGAAAATCTTCAATATTTCTGATGAGAAAATAACGAACATTTTGAAAGAATAAAAGATTTAATTTCACTTGAAATAATCTTTAAATAAAATAACAATTTCAATCAATCGTAACTTTACTAAAAATCTTTTTTTCTAATCACAAATTGATAAAAATATTTAAACAAATTTTCTTTTATGTAGAAATAAAAAAGCTTTAAAACATCTTTGAAGAGATGAAATCTTTTACAACTAATTTTCATTTCTATTTCAACATTCGAAAGATACATAATTGTGTAAAAGTGAAATTTTTTATAAATCTTCATTGAATTCAATGAATGAATAAGTGTATCTCTTCATTTCGATGACGATTCTACGGAAAATAGATTTGTTAGTTAGATTAAAATTATTTATTCCGTCGAGAAAAATCCATTCGATTTTCTTCATCGACATTTCAAATGATTTTTAAGTTAAAAAATTTCATTCAGTTTGAAAATCTCAAATATAATTTTCATTTAACAAAACAAAAAAGACGAAAAAGGATGTTCTCATTAACCTTACCTTAGAAAAAAATTAAGATTTTTAAATAATTTTTTTTCTTATTCAGTTAGTTTAAGCTTACCACAAGAATTTGATAAGAAATCAAATTTTTGAATACGATGATTGGAGCGATCAATAATAAATATGTTTCCATAACTATCGAAACTAAGAGTTACTGGAGATGATAATTGATGGGATTGTGATCCTTCTTCATCACATCCAATTATACATCGAATATCATTTGATCCTGATCGAATTATACGATGATTGAATTGATCGACAATAAAAAGATATTTATCAGCATCTAGTACAACTCCAGATGGATATGAGAGTGAAATAATGTTATTTGATGATTCTTCTCCAACTATTGTTGTTCCATTTAATTCTTCAAATTTAAATAATTGAATTCGATGATTACCACAATCTGCCACATATAAATCAAAGTTTACATCAACAAAGATTCCCATAGGCTGATCAAGTTCATTCGAAGCAGAACCACCAATACCTGTTCCAACCGCAGTTGTTGATATCATTTCACTATCATTTAACCATCTTTTCACAATTTTACCATTAAAAAACATTGAACAATATAAAGTATTATTAATATCGATAAAGAGACCATAACATCCTGAATTAACATTCATAACATTCACAAAAGTATCTGTATTTGATATCCATTTATCGATTCGACCATTCTTTACACTATTATCATAATAAATATCACCATTATTTGTAACAAAGATGGACTTTGAAAGAATGAAATTAGCAGAAATAGTTTTGTTTCGATTAAGACTATTATTAATCCATATTAAAATTTCTTTCTTCTGCCAATTAACTGTATAAATTGTATTGTTTTTATTGATAAAAAGGGCTTCAGGATAATTTCCAAGAGTTGTTTGATTAGCAAAAGTAATTCCAAAAGGATTCCAAACTGCTGTTGGACAAAACTTCGGTTGGTTAAATGAAGATGCTAAAATGGAAAGTTTCAAATAAAATTTTTCTCGAAATAATTTGTCTCTTCAAACAAATATTTTACTAAAAAAATAAACAATTTAAAAATATTTTTAATGGTTTTTCTTTAAAGAAAAATTGCAAATAAGTTCTTGAGGGTGTGGGTGTGGGTGGGTGTGGGTGGGTGTGAGGGTGTGGGTCTGGGTGTGGGTGTAAGCTGGAAGAGGAGATGTTCATATCCACACCCACACCCACCCTCATGATAGAGTTTTCGACATCTTTTTATACGTCGACATTTTTACTTGTCGATATTTTTTTTTCGACGTTTGACCACCAAATCCTACAACTATATTCTTTTTGTTTATCTTTATCAATATACTGCAATGTATAATCATCTATACTTCTGTACTCCTATACTTATCACACTATTTTTAATCTAAATGTATACTTGTGTATCTCTATACTAAACACTCTTTTCAGAGAAAGTGGGTGTGGGTACGAATAAAATAGAATACCCACACCGACACGCACATCCTCAAGAACATTTTAAGTTAAATACAATAAAAAGAGATGATTGATAAATAATAATAATATTGATTACCTGATATTTTCTTGATCATAACCAACAGAATCATGAGAAAAATGTTGAAATTGTTCTTTGTCATCATATAGAACAACGTTTTTTGTTCATCAATAATAAAGAAAAGTGAAATTGTTGTAATCGACTAGACAATTAATATCCTTGTTCAAGAAAAACAAGTGAAACTATTTCATCATTTTTTTATTCTTTATATATCTCTCTTTTTCTCTTCTCAAGATCAACAAATATCATCTAAAAAAAACAATGACATATTCCGAGAAATGATTCTTTATCAATAATTTTGATTATTACTGTTTAAATTTAATTGATAACTTTTCACATGATTTGATTTTGAAAAAGAAAAAATCAGTAAATTCAGTTATTTAACAATGAAGTTCATTTGAAAATATCTTTGTTTTTAGATAAAAGACGTGACAAAAAAGAATATTTCTGATTAAACTTTGTGTTAATATTGAGACGTGATTAAAATCAAAATAAAATATCATGATCAATGATTAATAAATGACTGACGTCAGTAAAATATATTTTCTAAATAATTCATGTTGTCAGAACTTTATTTTATCACGTTCTTTTATTGTTGTTTTTGTTCAATGAACGTCATCAAGTTGCTGCCCATGAGATAATTTTCTAATTGAATATGACTAAAAGAGTTTTTCAATTTTATTTGTTTGATTAACATCGAAAAAAGATACAAATAATTTCCAGCAGATATTTAAGAATGACTTTATATGTACTAGAGATGTTTAGTCGTCATGATGAAAAGTTGTGTGTTTCTGCAAGAATTGTTCAAATATATGAATTAATATGAAGTTTCACTATTTATTCAATAGTTTATTACTAATGAAGAATGTCCAAATTGTAATTAATATCTGTAATATTTACATATAATGGAAGAAAAATATATCAGTAGATAAATGAAGGAATTATTTCTTTTTAATTGAAAGTCATGAATAAATATTCTTTTCTTATTTGTTTGTTTGAATAAAAGGAATGATATTTTTATGTTAAATAATACATGATAACAATAGTTTTATGATGCATTCTTATCAGTATTCAAACATTACCCGATCGGCACTGTGTATTATAGAACTCTAATCAAGTCAGTGTTGACTGAATATGAATAACAGGAAGCAAAAATTACACGAAATCGAAAAGGAAGCAATGCAATCAAATTTAGAGAAACTATATTTCATTTGAATCGATCAAGAAGTAGAGCTCAATCTCGTTGGATGTTGTGCTAATATATATGAATCTTAAGGGTGGGTGTGAGTGGATGTGCATGTGAGCAATGATTGATAATCTGCACTCACACCTACACCCTCAAGATGGCAGTTTGATCTCTCCACTCGTAAAAGTTCTCTTAAATATAACGACCAAATAAGAAAAGCTTTTTTCTTTTCCCATCTTTACAATAAAGTCATGTCGATTGTTTTTATAATATTTATTAAATATAAGAACTACGTAATAAAAGCGTTTCTCTTCTTTCCAACTCTACTGTAAAATCTTGTAATTTTTGTACTATTTATTAAATATGATAAATAGGTAAGAAACGTTTTCTTTTCTTTT